ACACACACACACCTGGCTGAACATACAAACCAGCCTCTTTCTCAAGAGGTCTTGGCTTGAGTGTAAATGTTGAATTATTGTCCAAGTTTAAATTCTGAATCAGTCAGGCTTCTAGTTGAGCTCAGCAAACACTCAGAATGATTTTCAGGTGAAAATAGAGACATTGGGAATAAGCACACAGACTCCCTATTGTTATTTTTTTGCAAGGGTTTCAGATGCATTACAGATCCAAATGCAGACATATTACAGGACAGTAAATAATTAACAGGATACAAAAGAAAAGCTTCTTGACACCTCAAAGCGTTGGAAAGAAATCTTTTCACCACTTTTCTTTGGATTCTTGTGAGACTAATTTCAGAGGAAAGAAAATGGATTTTTTTTTTTCCCCTGATGCTTTTGGCAGGGATTTGCAACACACTGCAACATAAAGACGCTGTCTCTTAGATAGACGGATGGCAAATGTGAAATGTTTTTTAAAGTCACCCTGTAATTATGCATTAAGGAATAATGTCACAACAAAAATGTGAGGACTGTTTTATGCTTCCCCACAGCAGGGGAAAGCATGAAAAAGTGTCTCAACCAGGCAAAACAGATTCAAGTGCCTACAAGACTTCAAAGGCTTGGCTAAAAATATCCACTCAGTCATCTCCTTGTGTAAGATGGAAATTGGATGGATACTGAACTGCCGACATTTAAGTTCAGTGGCGCTGCACTATACAGGATTTCTTTGACCATATCTCTCTAATGCATTTAAACCTAAGTCAACCTCCAAATATGTTTGCAGCTGGACTAAGACAGAGGTAGGCAAATTCTAAAGTTCTAAAGGAAATTTGACACTAAATACAGATTATCACAGGTTATTAGATTAAATTAACATCCCAGACTGTAAGTATATCTGGAATGCATATATATAAAGATGCTGCATATTGTTCAGCCATTAACAGCTATGGCGTCGACTTTTCCCTTTTCTGGATTGTAACATGCTCTTCCTAAGTGAAAATGTAAATATAAAAAGGACAAAATCAGTTAAGATATACAATGCATTAATGGATATATTGCTTAACACATAAATAGAAATAACTTTTCAAACATAAAAAGTCTGCCTTCCTGCATAATGTCTGCCATTAGAAATTATGCAGGAGTCAAACTCCTGGCTGACTCTGCAGGAGCCAACCAGGAGATTGACTCTTTCCCATATGAGCAGGTTGTGACTTCTGAAAAGCATCAGGAAATAAAAAAGGTGATTTACCAAGCCATTTTCATTCAGTGTAACTGCAGCGCTAAGCTATCAAGAAGCAGAAAAACATATTCCTGTGGGTTGAAAAATATACTATGAGAAATGCTTCTTTAAGTCACAGATGAAACAGGTGAACTGCTAAAAGCCAAAATAGGCTTTTGGATCCTTTATCACAAAATGCGTATAGAGCCTAAATTTCTAAAAAGAGTCCACATCTATTCTTGGAAAAAACAAACTAAAAAACAAACAAACAAAAAAAAAACTTATGCACCTGCAGCAAAAAGGTGACATGATAAAACTCAGAAGTGGATTGTAATATAATGTAATATAATACGGAAAATGTGTCTTTGATTTCATTCCAAGAATTTTGAATCCAATCAGTTGTTATAAGAAGTCTTCAAAAGTAATTACTTTTTTAATGCACTATAAAGAATCAAATATTTTTGACATGGCATCTTTTCTTATTAAAATATAAATAAAACCAGAAAACTGTTACTCATGTCATCTGGTTTTATTATCTTTCAAAATATGCACATCACTTTTTTTTAAATTTTGATTTGATTAAGATGCGTTTAAATCTCACATTTTCTGGGGTATGAATATCTTTTGGTTTAACTAACTACATGCTTTCTGTTTTCATGAACAATAAAACAGGAAACTCAGTTCAGTTAATATTTGCAAATCTAAACATCCTCCCAAGTTTCAGCAACAAATAAAGTGGAGTACTCAAAACAAAAGCAATTAGGGTCCAAGTGTCATTTTGCTAGTTTCAGAATTGCTATTTGTATCGTAGCAGTTAGAAACATCAGGGGCAGACACATTAAAATATTTTTGCAGGAGCTACATTTTGAAAAACCTGAGTTTGACTGGGCTTCATTTTCTTAAACTAGACACAGAGACAGATCTGCTCCTGAAATAGCTTCACCCTGAAAACAATCTCGCTCTCTTTCTCTTTTGACGCAGTTTGCTTACATTTAAATGATTCATTATGCATGCATTTCATGGAAAGCTCGATAAAAAAAACATGCTAATGTTAATCACAGCCAGTCATTTGCTTGTCATTTTAGAAAACAAAACCGATTTGATTGATGCAGATTTAGTGAGAAAGTTAGCATCTGCATATAACTCGAGATCATATTCGCAGGAGAAGAAAATACCAACAAGGTTTTTCTGATGCAGAGCAAAGCAGATGAGGGAAGAAAGTGGAATGTGTCCCGTCTTCTTGTGAAGATTTAAAATGTGCTTTCATTGTTCAGACATATTTAGAAAATGTTTATATTTGTAGCATATTTGCATGACCTACATAAGACAATTTTGCAATATGACAGTTTTACTGCAGTGAATGCTTTTCACCCCAAAAATAATCAATGATGAGACGTATTATCCCACTATAAAAAAACGGTGGGTGTAAAACCTTAAGTTTGCTCACTTAGTATTAAAAAAAGGTGGATTTTTATGTTTATTTCTTTTACCAATAGCACAAAAATCCCACCTCAGGGTATGACAAGATCCATTATCTTTTGACCATGATCTTAAGGCAGATTTACAGATATTTTAGTCCTCATTATGATCTCTAAATACCTTAACTTTGCAGTTGTGGTATATAGTCTCTCATGTAAATCTACTCATGTACTTTTTTTCTTTCCATTTTAATTTATGAATATAAAATTTATCTGTCAGATTAAAAGGTACCACAGTTCTAGATGAAAACATCTGAAAAGGGAAGTAGAAAAATTAGTTTTAAAGCTTAAAGAATAGGCTTTTACCTTCTACTAAACTGCCTGGAGTTCACTTACTGTAAATCTATTACTTCAAAATAAAAGCAAGATGATGAGATTCATTAACAAATGTACTCAAATATTTGTTATAGGTGATAATCGATATCGTGATATCACTGCAGAAGTGCAGAATTCCTTGGAAACCTGGGTCTGTGCTCTAGTCTTTAAATTACATATCCCCCCATTAAAATTTCCCACCAGCTGCTCCACCATGTTTGAGATGCACCGCGAGTGAGAGAGAGAGAGACGCACAGGATCACATCAACAGCATCTTCCCAGACCACCTTAAAGCCTCAACTGAAGTGCATCAAAGCACTCGAAAAGAAATTAAATTGTTGCGGGGACGGTGTCTGACAGCTCATCGATAGAAAGTGGGGTGAGGGGTGAGGGATTTAAGGGAAGCAAAACACCAGCAGAAGGCAATAAGATTCTGCAATGACAAGAACGCAAGCAGTAGGGTCCCCCAGCAGATGGAGAAGAAAACAAACCTGGCTGCTACATTTCCTGGTTGCTAAGCACCACCTGGAGGTAATGAATGTGCGGCCGGCCGAAGAGGCACGAGAGACGACAGGGGGGAGAGTCAAATAGTCTATTCAGAAACGCTGGAGAATGCCTCTTCACTGTGTGTCCTTGATGTGGGTCACCGCGGCCTGTAGATATGCCCATGAATATTTATGCAAGCAAACGGACTTAAATAATGATGACCAAAACAGGATATTAATGAAAAAAATAAAATAAAAAAAGAAAAGGGGAAGGGATCTTTTTTTTAACCTTTAGAAAAGTGGCCAGGTAGGTTGGCAAAAGATCAAAACTCCCCAAGGTTTGGATCTTGCTGGAGGTTAAGGCAATTTTATCCTCTTGTGCTGCATCAGTCATAAGATGGAGTGTGTAGATTGTATACCACTCTGTAATACTTTGAATTGGATTCTTTTGTCTGGGGAAAGGTCTTTTTTTTTTTTTTTCTGTGGCGGAATCTGCAGCCGCCTAAAGGTAGAGATTTATAAAGAAAGATGACTCACCACACAGCCGGTGGAATCGAGCTTTCGGTCAGATATGCAGCGAAAGTTGCGGCTGCAGCCGCCGTTGTCTTTCGAGCAATCTCTGACGGGTCCGAAAGAGTCCAGGAGGACCTCCAAAGAGTCGAACGACGAGCTGATCATCAGCTCCTCTCTGCAGAAACGACAAGGAGGGAAGAAGCGGAGGGAACGCGTGTCATGTGGGGTATTGTTGTCAGTTACTGAGCCTGCAATCTGTTGCACATGAAGGCACCGAAATGTTTCTGTATTCAGCCCTGCATAGATTTGTTTTAAAAAGCAAAATATGTTCGCTTGAGAATTTATTAAAAACTTAAACTAAACTTTGCCACATTTAGTCACAAAACGAGACGTCAGTGATTTATATTGGGATTCAAAGTGATAGATCAACCCAAATAAACCAGTGCTTTTTATTTTATAGTACAAATTAAAGCACTACACCAGAGCGATATCTGATCGACGACTACATGAAATTAACTCCCATCATCCATCTGAGCAGAAGGAGACTAATGGTGCAAGGACAATGTTTTTCACCTCGTTCGGCCATTTTTATGTCATGTTACCTTTCTGAGTAAGAAGTCTTTTGGAAATAGTTGGCCATAACTGCACATTTTGTAATTGGGCTAATACTATTACAAGAATATTTGTTCCAATCTAAAACCTAAAAAATACAAAAAATATAATTGTGGGTCTTTAGCTTTAAGACAAAACATTATCAAGTATATACTTATTTGTGAAATTTAAGTTCACTTTTGTTTAAGCCTCATATATGTTTTCTGGCCCAATGTACGTTAAGTTGGAGCAAATGCTAAAATGGATCTTTGGTGAATTTTGCCAACCTCTGATTTTGCTGGAGAGTCATGTTGAAGAAGCTCTGTAGTCGTGCAACACTCCTTCCTTAGATGATGATTACCTGAACTGTCTTCTGAGGGCTAATCAAAGCCTGGGATATAGTTTTATAAGCTAATCTGCCATAATTTCCCTCCAACTTTATTCATAAATTGTCTTGTGTGTTTACTTATGTCCTCTCATGCCTCTAAAACCATAAGAATATATTTATTCTGTGAATAAATAATACACAGGTTTGATAATAATATTACTCAGTTAACTATATTTTTGCAAAGAAGTAAGTTTTAGTTATATGCTGACAATTGGGAGAGAAAAAAAAAAACGCTGTAGGATTTCTTCCCTTTCACATTCAAATTGATGTTATCTTACAAAACCAATTTCTCCATTTTTAATTACCTGTTGCATTGCTGTCATTAATACTGTGGGGACCTGTTGAAAGGAACATCGACAGATGATGAAACCGACAGCAAGTGTGAATGCTAAATTACTGAGGAACCCTAATAATAGGCAGGGGACCTCCACAGAGAGCACAACACAATTTACCACGGCAGCCAACATAAATCATGGAGTAGATTAAAAGTTTAAATGATGACGAAGTAATGCAACATTAATTATTTGGTAAAATACTCTCACAATGAATTGGTATGTGATCTGAAGTTAATATTTCTATTCTCAGAGCGTTATCTGTCTGAACAATGATAACAAAAATCTAAAATCAAAAGTCTGATTAAAGCTTCTTACAAGACTTTTTTTTTTGTCACTTCAATTCAACTTACCTTAAAAGAAGATTTTGTAAAAAATAGAAAAGAATACTATAGCTTTTTTTTTTGTCAATCATATCATTAATTCCAGGTTATTTTCTTTATTCGAAAGGTCTGAATCAAGCTTGGCTGTGACTAGTTAAACAGAAGATGTGGTTAGATAATGACTTGGCATAGGAATCAAGTATTTGTTGAAATCATCAATTGAAAAATGTTTTTGTTGCATTTGTGCAGGTTATTTTTGTCTGATATTTAAATCTGATTAATAATCTAAAACAGGGGTCCCCAAACTACGGCCCGCGGGCCGGATCCGGCCCGC